TGTAGGGTGTAGGGTTTAGGGTTGAGGGTTTAGGGTCTAGGGGTTCAGGGTTTAACCAACAACATGAGGCAAGGGAACCTTGCAGGGTTTGCAGCTCAGGGTGCCCTCTGAACCCAGAACCCGAAGCCCTGAAAATCTGAGCAGCACTCCAATAAGAATGATGGTCCGTCCCTTTATGGCTACCTCTCGAATGAAAGGCCGCCTTATGAGATCAGGAACCTCAAAAGGGTGTTGCTGTTAAGGAACTTAAGGTACCACAATAGCAACGCGCAGCGGAAAATAAGATTTTTGTTACGTTAACTGAAGTTTAAGAGCCTCCGGCTCAAGCCGCCGACCCCGCAGGAGAACAAGTTTAAGGTTTGGGGTTTGGTGATTTTGTTTGCGGTTGGGGGGGGGGAGCCCTATGCTCTGTGCGAAAACGCCTATGGTCCATGAGTTTACGTGGTGTGGGTGGCCTGTTCCTCCACGGAAAAGCTGGCGGGGTACCCCCCCCTACCCCCCCCCCCCCGGCGTTTTGGGGGTAAGGAGGGAAAGAGGGAGGTTTTCACCTCCTTTTCCCATCCAACACGCCGCCAGGGTCGGCGGATAAAGTTCCTCAAGAGTAGCCCTAAACCCCTAAACCCCTAAACCCCCTAAACCCCTAAACCCCCTAAACCCCCTAAACCCCCTAAACCCCCTGAACCGCCTGAACCGCCTGAACCGCCTGAACCCCCTAAACCCCCCTCAACCCCCTCAACCCCCTCAACCCCCTAAACTCCCTAAACCCTTAAACCCTAAACCCCAAATCCCAATCCGAAGCTTCGTTTCGAACGAGCTCAGGTAATGACAGATCCGAGGTACCGCATTGAGCACACCTTCTACTCCGACTGCGTTTGGAGGCCAAAGTTGTGTGCCAGTTTAGGGTTTAGGGTTTAGGGTTTAGGGTTTAGGGTTTAGGGTTTAGGGTTCGGTGTGGATTGTCTACCCCCCCTGACTAGCTCGTCTGAGAAACCCCGCCCCTCCCGCCCCCAGCCCGCATCCCAAAAAACCCAAACCCACCCTAACCCTAAACTCCTAAACCACGCTAAGCCCTAAACCCTATGCCCAATACCCTATGACCTAAACCCTCAACCATCCCAAACCCTAAATAAACCCCTAAACCCCTAAACCCCTAAACCCCATACACCCGTAAACCTGAACCCCTAAAGCCCTAAACCCCTAAACCCCTAAACCCCTAAACCCCTAAACCCCTAAACCCCTAAACCCCTAAACCCCTAAACCCCTAAACCCCTAAACCCCTAACCCCCTAACCCCTAACCCCTAAACCCTAAACCCCTAAAACCCTAAACCCTAAACCCTAAACCCCTAAACCCCTCCCACCCCTAAACCCCTCAACCCCTCTAAACCCCTCCCCCCCTCAACCCCTCAACCCCTCAACCCCTCAACCCCAAACCCCTAAACCCCAAACCTATAAACCCTATAAACCCTCTAAACCGTAAACCCTGAACCCTAAACCCTAAACCCTAAACCCTACACCCCGAAACCCTACACCCCTAAACCCTCCAACCCCCTGGAGAATCCCCCGGCTCCCGACGACAGAAGGCGCTGGGACTGCGCCGCGCTGGTGCACGAGGCCCTCCTCTGGCGCCTGGAGCAGCGGCTGTGCGGCGTTCTTGAGGGTGCAGGGTAGGGTTTAGGGTTTAGGGTTTAGGGTTTAGGGTTTAGGGTTTAGGGTTTAGGGTTTAGGGTTTAGGGTTTAGGGTTTAGGGTTTAGGGTTTAGGGTTTAGGGTTTAGGGTTTAGGGTTTAGGGTTTAGGGTTTAGGGTTTGGATTTTTGGGTTATGAGGGTTGAGGGTTCAGGGTTTTTGGGTTGAGGTTGAGGGCTGAATATTTGTACGATTTTTGGGGTTGAGGGTTTAGGGGTTGTAGGGGATTCTGGTTGAGGATTTCGTGATGGCTTGTCAGCGGCTTGTCTGTTTTCTGCTACTGTAGGTTATAGTGGTCCCCTCCATGCATCGGGGTTTAGGATTTAGGGTGAGGGAACAGGGATTTGTTAGGGTTCAGGTTTTAGGGTGGAAAGCAGTTTCTCAGGATTTAGAGTTTATGGAGTAGAGCCCTTATGGGTGCTTTACACTTTTGGGCTTTTCAGTAGTTAAGGGGATATCTTTTTTAGGGATTTAGGCTTTTTGGGGTTGTGCTTTTTTGCTAGTGTTTCTGGGTTTTCAGGATACAGGTTGTTGCGGTTTTGGTGTCGGGTGCGTGCCTAAGAACAGAGCACCCACACAGTAGTCCTCATGTCAGAATTTGTTCCCGACCCCAAACCCCTGAATCCCTAAACCCTAAACCCCTAAACCCTAAGCGGCTGTTATGTCGAGGTGAGGAGACGTCCTACACACCTTAAGCTCCGCATGGTCAGAAGGCCCCTTTCTTATGTTCCTCAGACTACTAGGTGATGGCATACATAGCAAGGGCCCCCTGAAGAATAGGGACCCAAGCCCTGCACCCTAAACCCTTTAACCCCTTTAAGCCCTTTAAACCATTTGGACCCTTTAGCCCTCTATAAACCCTTCCCCTACCCCTTAAACCCCTTAAACGCCTTAAAACCCTTAAAGCCCCTCAAACCCTTTAAGCCCTTGAAACCCATAAAACTCGTTGAACCCTGAATGCTCTTCAAACCCGTTAAAACCCTTTAGACCCCTTAACGCCCTTTCCCCTTTAAACCCTTAAGACCCTTCAAACCCTTTAAACCCTAAAGCCCCTTAAAACTCCCTTAACACCCTTTAAGCCCTTCAAACATGGGATGTTCCCCTCTCCTTAATGGGGATTATACTGGGAGGGGGGTACGAGAAGCTCTATCAAGGACTGCTAGTATAAGTGGAAAATCCCATTTTTGACCCCTCAACCCTAAACCCTAACCCTCAACCCTAAGCCCTTTAAGCCCTTCAAGCCCTTCAAGCCCTTCAAGCCCTTTAAGCCCTTTAAGCCCTTTAAGCCCTTTAAGCCCTTTAAGCCCTTTAAGCCCTTTAAGCCCTTTAAGCCCTTTAAGCCCTTTAAGCCCTTTAAGCCCTTTAAGCCCTTTAAGCCCTTTAAGCCCTTTAAGCCCTTTTAAGCCCCTTGAAGCCCTTTAAGCCCTTTAAGCCCTTTAAGCCCTTTAAGCCCTTTAAGCCCTTTAAGCCCTTTAAGCCCTTTAAGCCCTTTAAGCCCTTTAAGCCCTTTAAGCCCTTTAAGCCCTTTAAGCCCTTTAAGCCCTTTAAGCCCTTTAAGCCCTTTAACCCTTTTAAGCCTAAAACCCTAAACCCTAAACCCTAAACCCTAAACCCTAAACCCTAAACCCTAACCCTAAACCCACTAAACCCTAAACCCTAAACCCTAAACCTACCCTAAACCCTAAACCCCCCTAAACCCTAAACCCTAACCCCTAAACCTAAACCCTAAACCCTAAACCCTAAACCTAAACCCTAAACTAAACCCTAAACCTAAACCCTTTAAACCCTAAACCCTAGACCCTAAACCCTAAACCCTAAACCCTAAACCCTAAACCCTAAACCCTAAACCCTAAACCCTAAACCCTAAACCCTAAACCCTACTCCCCAAACCCTAAACCCTAAACCCTAAACCCTAAACCCTAAACCCTAAACCCTAAACCCTAAACCCTAAACCCTAAACCCTAAACCCTAAAAGCCCTTTAAGCCCTTTCAGCCCTTTAAGCCCCTTAAACCAGGAATTCCTCCTGCCTTTTCGATTTCGGCATCTTCGACTTCCACGCGCTGCTGGGCTCAACCCATAGGGGTTTTGGGACCAGGAGAACCAAGCCCTAAACCCTAAACCCTAACCCTAAACCCTAAACCCTAAGCCCTAAGCCCTAAACCCTAAACCCTAAACCCTCAACCCTTCAACCCAAAACCCTAAACCACCCTGCAAGATATTGTTGGTTCCCTAAACTCCTCGGGGCCCAAAACCCGCACAAACATTAGGATGCTAGCATATGGGTCAAAGGGCCCCTGGAAGGGTTCAGGGTTTAGGGTTTAGGGTATAGGGTTTAGGGTTTAGGGTTTTGGTTGAGGGTAGGGTTTGGGGTCTAGGGTGTAGGGTCATGGATCCTACTATTGGGGTATAAGGGGCCATTCTGGAAAAATCTCTTTGTAGAATCCTTCTGCTTATGTGGTTTTCTTTTGGTTCCCGCGACACACCTCAAGATACTCAGAAGACTACACAAGGATCCTTACGTCAACGGCTGGGTCATCAAACCCTAAACCCTAAACCCTAAACCCTAAACCCTAAACCCTAAACCCTAAACCCTAAACCCTAAACCCTAAACCCTAAACCCTAAACCCTAAGCCCTAAGCCCTAAGCCCTATACCCTAAGCCCGAAACCCGCGGCGTTCAGTTGGGAGTTGCTTCTGTGGGAGGGCGGTAGGGGGAGGGGGGTGGGAGAGCGCCTTCGCCTTGCCCAAAGAGGCCAACCAAAAGCTTGCGGGTGTATTGAGGGTCTTCAGGTTTGAGGGTTTAGGGTTTAGGGTTAACTTAGGGTAAGAGGGTTTCAGGGTTTTAGGGTTTAGGGTTTCAAAATTTCAGCGTTTTAGGGTTTCGGGGTTTAGGGTTTCAGGCTTTTAGGGTTTAGGGGTTGAGGAGTTTAGGGCAGGGTCCAGAAGGCCGCGTAGAGAGGGATGGTAGTCATGGCTGCAAAAGCTTGCAATGGTAGCAGCAAGGGAAAGAAAGACCAGTGACGCGAACTGAGAATCTAGCAAACATAAACAGAATTGTCATAATTGTAATGGTCGTGCGGTATTATCCTCCTTCTCCTCCTCCTCTTCCTCCTCCTCCTCCTCCTTTTGTTTCCTCCTTGCCCTCGTCCTCCTCTGCTTCTCCTCTTCATTCTGACTCGCACTGTTCTCATAAGCACATATTTCTACACGCCGACCATGCTCGCAACCGTTCCTTTTGCCGCTTTCCCGGCTCATCTGGGCTCTTCCCCCCGCAGCTTGCCACGAGCTGCTGGCCCAACTCCTGAGAGCTCAGCCTTGGGGTGGGGAGGCCATGAAGTGGACCCAACTCGCCACAGAGGAGCCCCGGCCACCACCTCGCAGCAACTAGGACCGGGAGTAGGTTTTTTTGTTTTTGCTTTTTTAGGGTTTAGGGTTTAGGGTTAGGGTTAAGGGCTTAGGGCTTAGGGCTTGGGGTTTAGGGTGGGTTTAGGGGTTCCCTGATAGTCCCCTGAAAGCTGAAAAAGGGTAGCCCTTCTTGATTCCTAGGCTACTCCCGGGTCTAGGCAAGCACTCGGCAGTTTTCGACCCAGCAACTCGGGACTTGGTGGTCTTCGGGGGCGGCTTGGCCTCGGGCGGTTTTGCCAATGACGTGTGGCGGCTGAGCCTGAAGGACATGAAGTGGGGTTTAGGGCTTATAGGGTTTAGGGTTTAGGGTTTAGGGTGTAGGGTTTAGGGTTTAGGGTTTAGGGTTCAGGGTTCAGGGTTCAGCGTTCAGGGTTTAGGGGAAAGCTTTTGGGGTTTATGGCGGTTGAACTTGAAGGACATGAAGTGGACTCACTTTGAGCTCGAGGGGGCACCGCCAGGCCGGCAGGGCCACTCCGCCGTGGTGGACCAAGAGCAGCGAGGTTGTTTTTTGGGACAACTTATATTTCCCTTATTTTGGGCTTATAAAGGGACCCTATACATGATTTATGGATATTTTTATTTTCCCTTTTTTGGGCTTATAAAGGGACCCCAGACATGATTTATAGATATTTACTTTCCCTTATTTGGGTTTACACAGGGACCCTATACATTATTGCATACATATCTTTCAGAGAGTTTAGAAAGGCCCAGCCAGGAAAGGATCCATGATCGTCTTTGGGGGCGTTGGCTCCGGTGAGGGCCCTGGTCTCGCGTACTTCAACGACGTGTGGGCTCTAGACCTGAAGACCATGACCTGGGCGCAGCTCGAGACTCTACTATTTGCTTAAGAACCCCCTCCCCCCCCCCCAAAAAAAAATAGGAAAATAATAATCCCTTTAGTACCCTGATAAGGAAGAATATTTTTGATTTTTTGAAGCACATGGAAGGACTAGGCAGGCCCCTTCATAGGGACATATCTTATCGCTTCCCTTATTGGGTTGAATGAAGATATTCAGGAATATATTCTTTCACCCTAGACCCTAGACCCTAAACCCTAAACTCTAAACCCTAAACCCTAAACCCTAAACCCTACAGTTTCATGGCCATGCTAGGAGACAGAAGGGCCACCTGCGGGACGGGAAGGCCACTCGGCAGTGGTTGACCAAGAGAAAGGATCCATGGTGGTCTTCTCGGGTTCTCAGTTTTCCGAACGCGTCAATGACTCTAGCCTGTTCAGTCGCATACTTTATTTTACTTTTTGGCTTTCTGGGTTCCTAGTAGACCCTAAACCCGAACCCTAAAGCCTACAGAAACTCCAATCCTCTAAACCCTAAACCCCAAACTCAAAAAAAAGAGTACATACATTGTTTTTCCAGGGGCCACTGCAAACAGCCTAGGACTTGTGGGCTCTCGACTTGAAGGCCCTGAAGTGGGCCCAGCTGGAGCCGGAAGGGCCGCCGCCGGCGCGGACGCACCACGCCGCAGTGGTCGACCCCGAGCGTTCGCCGTACTCGGAAATACTTTTTTCAGCTGTTATGAAGAACCCTAAATGTTTGGGGTTTAGGGTTTAGGGTTTAGGGTTTAGGGTTAAACTGTTGTTGTGAAGAATCCTAAGAAACAGCAAAAATCGAGTTTTTTTACAACGGGCTCCAAGTACAGTCAAGGAAAATCGGTCGATGATGATCTATGGGGGGTTCAACTTGAACGATGCTGGTTCGGATTTGCAAACATTTTTTGGTTGTTGTTCCCGATAATCCCCTATACAGCCCTTACATGCCCTAAACCCAAAACCCAAAACCCTAAACCCTCAACCCGAAACCCTAAACCCGAAACCCGAAACCCGAAACCCTAAACCCTAAACCCTAAACCCTGAACCCTAAACCCTAAACCCGAAACCCGAAACCCTAAACCCTAAACCCTAAACCCTTAGGATCTTTGGATGCTGGATTTGACGGCCATGCAGTGGACCCAGCTCGAGGCTGAGGGGGCCCCGCCACCGCGCTGCAACTCTGCGGTGCTCGACCCAGAGTCGCGATCCCTGGTGACGAGGTTGCAGGTTAGGGTTTAGGGTTTAGGGTTTAGGGTTTAGGGTTTAGGGTTTAGGGTTTAGGGTATAGGGGGCACCTAGGTGATCTTTGGAAGCCATTTTGCTGGCCGGGGAGAAGCATACGGGAATGATCTTTGGTCGCTGGACCTGAAAGCCATGAAGCTGGGTCGTGATTTGGGTTTGTGGAAATTTAGGGTTTAGAGTTTAGGGTTTAGGGTTGGTTTAGGGTTTAGGGTTTAGGGTTTAGGGTTTAGGGTTTAGGGTTTAGGGTTTAGGGTTTAGGGTTTAGGGTTTAGGGTTTAGGGTTTAGGGTTTAGGGTTTACTGTAGGGTTTAGGGTTTAGGGTTTAGGGTTGGAGTTTAGGGTTCAGGTTGCGTGTTTTCCTTCTTTTTTTCCTCTTCTTTCGTTCGAAGGGTGACTTTCAGGGGCTCTTTAGAACCCACGACCCAGGAAGTGGACCCAGATCGAGGCAGAGGAGGCCCCTCCAAAGCGAACTGGGCACACCGCCTGTTTCTTAGTAGCTGATCGAGTACACTTTATGCATTTTTTTTTTTTTTGGTCCAATCCCCTAAACCCTAAACCCTAAACCCTAAACCCTAAACCCTAAACCCTAAACCCTAAACCCTAAACCCTAAACCCTAAACCCTAAACCCTAACCCCTAGAGAACTGAAAAGTTTGCACTTTTTGGGGGGCCTGTGCACTCAGCAACGAAGGTTTCGACCCGGAGACTCGAGCCAAGGTGGTGTTCGGTGGGGTCGGCCCCGAGTCAGACAGTGACTGGGACCCAGCGAGGCCCTTATTTCCCTTTTTCTAGGGTTTAGGGTTTAGGGTTTAGGGTGTAGGGTGTAGGGTTTAGGGTGTAGGGTTTGGGGTTTAGCTTCCTCATATACTCTCCTTTGAACCAAAAAGGGTGTCCTTTTTATTCCTGGGTTACTCATGGGCCTAGGTGATACTTGGCTGCTGGATTCTTAGCCGTTCCTGGAAGCTTTTTTTGGATGATTGCTATGAAGAATCTTGAGAAGCAGCTTTTACTAACCCTAAACCCTAAACCTGAAACCCTAAACCCTAAGCTACTCTAAAACTACCCTAAAGTACCCCAAACTGCCTTAAACTACCCTAACCCTAAACCCTACTGATTTGTCCCAAGTGCAACTGAGGATCTAAAGACGCTGAGCTAGGCCCGAGAGCGCAGCTACTAGTTGCGGCTGCCGTCGCCCACAACTTTGTGGACCCTCTTGCCGTTGCAGACCCTGAGGCCTAAACCTTAAACCCTTAGCCTGAAAGTTGCGAAACTGAAAGGCTACGCGTGCCAGCTGCTTGATGAATCAGGGTGTAGGGGTTTAGGTGTTAGGGGCTTAGGCGCTATGGGTTTAGGGTTTGGGTTTGGAGTTGCGGTTTTGGGGGATTTTGGGTGTAAGATTCAATTCGGGTTCAAAAAGTGAGGTTTTCCTAGAGGTCGTTGTAGATCTATCAGTCCCTAAGCCCGAAACCCTACACTCTAAATCGTCTCTAGGCCTCCTTGGGCGACACAGCGTTGGCATGCAACACGGATATGGGGCCTTAATGGAATGGTGTTTTAGGGGCTTATTCAGAATGGTTATGTTGGGAAGTTAGCGGACCACCGGAGTAGTATCGATTAACAATTAAGGCCCTGTAATGCAAATCTTGTAACATAGTGACGAAGTGATGGGTGTTCTTTTTCCACTGCTCGCTGGGGCTGCGCAAGCAAATGTTTGCACGCAGGGAACGCCTGGGCCTCGGTCCCAGGTGAACTGCAGACCACTCGAAATTGCGAGCTGAAAACAGCAGACATACCTTAGCCAACCAGAGCCCACGTTTCTGTAGCCTATATTCAACCCTAAACCCTAAACCCTAAACCCTAAACCCCAAACCCCAAACCCTAAACCCCAAACCCTAAACCCTAAACCCCAAACCCCAAACCCTAAACCCCAAACCCTAAACCCCACACCCCAAACCCTAAACCCTAAACCCTAAACCCTAAACCCTAAACCCTAAACCCCAAACCCCAAAAGTTTCCGGGTGGATTAACGGACGTTTAGTTGAGGATGTCGGGGGCTTGGCCTTTGGGGCTTCAGCGAGTCGGAGGGCTTTGGCGGGTTTTCAATCGGGGTTTGTGGTATAGGGTATAGGGTTTAGGGTTTGGGGTTTAGGGTTTAGGGTTTGGGGTTTGGGGTTTAGGGTTTAGGGTTTGGGGTTTAGGGTTTAGGGTTTAGGGTTTAGGGTTTGGGGTTTAGGGTTTAGGGTTTAGGGTTTGGGGTTTAGGGTTTAGGGTTTAGGGTTTGGGGTTTAGGGTTTAGGGTTTAGGGTTCGGGGTTTGGGGTTTGGGGTTTGGGGTTTGGGGTTTGGGGTTTGGGGCTACTTGCAGGTTCAGTCGGGTACGTATAACTATGGTTATAACCTTACTTAGGCTGCTTATAACCCTCCTTCAAGTAGGGATTGGAGCTCCAGGGGCTTGAGGGCAGAGTTTTTTTTGTTTCAAAAGGGCTCCATGGTTTGTTTTGGGGCTTCGGGCTTCAGGGGTTTAGGGTTTAGGGTTTAGGGTTTAGGGTTTAGGGTTTAGGGTTTAGGGTTTAGGGTTTAGGGTTTGGGGTTTTAGGGTTTCGGGGAGCGACGCGAAGGCACGGTTATGAGACCATGCACGATGGCATCGGCCGCTCGATTGACTGGAATGACAACTTCTTTGCTTTCCAGCACGAAGACTTCCATGACATTGATTGGGTGCCTTGGCTAATGAAAAGGTGCCACGATTTGGAAGATGTAGGCCCTAAGCCCCTGAATCCTGAACCCTGAACCCTGAACCTGTGACCCTAAACCCTAAACCCTAAACCCTAAACCCTAAACCCTAAACCCTAAACCCTAAACCCTAAACCCTAAACCCTAAACCCTAAACCCTAAACCCTAAACCCTAAACCCTAAACCCTAAACCCTAAACCCTAAACCCTAAACTTAAAACCCTAAACCCTAAACCCTAAACCCTCGATGGGGTGTCAACCGTCAACCCAAGAGAGTTCCCAGTGCGGCCAACCCTGTGTTCAGCCTCCAAGTCTGAACCAGGGCTTGCTCCGGGTTTAGGGTGTAGGGTTTCGGGTTTGGGGTTTCGGGTTTAGGGTTTAGAGTTTATTGTTTAGGGTTTAGTGTCTAGGGGTTAGGGTTTAGGGTTTAGGGTTTAGGATCTGGGGTTTGGGGTTTGGGGTTTGGGGTTTCCCTTTTGATGGTAAGGGGTTCGGTTGCCTTAGAAAGCCCTTTGACATGTTCCGCCCCGTTTCTGGCCCCTAATCTCGCTAGGCAAAGGGTCACCCCAAGGCCTAAACCCTAAACCCTAAACCCTAAACCCTAAACCCTAAACCCTAAGCCCTAAACCCTAAACCCTAAACCCTAAACCCTAAACCCTAAACCCTAAACCCTAAACCCTAAACCCCAAACCCCAAACCCTAAACCCTAAACCCTAAACCCTATAAACCCTAAACCCTATAAACCCTAAACCCTAAATCCTCAACACCCCAACCCTAAATCCTAAATCCTAAACCCTGAATCCTGAACCCTAAACCCTGACCCCTTGGCGTTCATCCCGAGGAGGGCGTCGCTACCGATGACGAGCGCCAGATGAGTACCCTGCACCCCAAGCAGCGGGGCGAGCATGCAGGCACCCTTTGGGGAGCCTCCACCCAGGGTTTAGGGTTTAGGGTTTGGGGTTTAGGGTTCAGGGTTCAGGTTTAGGGTTTAGTGGTTTGGGGTTTGGGGTTTAGGGTTTAGGGTTTGGGGTTTAGGGATTTTTTTGGGAGCCTCCACCTTCTCACCAACCTATCCAGGGGTAGGTGTTTGAACATAGTTTCCAAACTTTACTACCCTTAATCCCCTATGCAATCCAGGGGTAGGTTTGAATATACTTTAAACGTTTATTACTCTTGATCCCCTAGATAATCCTTATAACGCCAGAGAAGTTGATTTTGTAATGTGACCCTCAAAGCTACCCCGATCTGTCAGGGAACATGCAAGTCCAGGCCCTGAGCTTCGGATGTCATGGGTTTAGGGTTTAGGGTTTAGGGTTTAGGGTTTAGGGTTTAGAGTTTAGGGTTTAGGGTTTAGGGTTTAGGGTTTAGAGTTTAGGGTTTAGGGTTTAGGGCTGTCGAGGCTTTCAACCAGGTCTTGACATTCGATCAACCCAGGGCGCGTAGCAAAGGTCGACCAGACCGGCTTCTCATTGAGGTGATAAACCCGAGAAGCCAACTACTCATCAGTCAATCCCGAGCCGAAAGATCTATTCTCCTGGGCTTTGGAGTACTATACTTTAATACTTTTTTTGGTTTAGGGTTCCTATAATGGCTATTTATACCTAAAAAGTATACACTTTTCTTCCAGGGTCTACTCCAAAGCTAAGTCTCTCTTGAACAAGGCAGCAAGCGGTTTTTAGGGATGGCAGCAACAGAGCCACCCTACGACCTCAACACCAGCATGCCAGGCGCGCTGGGAAGCGCCATCATCGCCCATTGGACATTCTCGATCCAGGACGGCGCGACGTTCCGGCTGAGGGTTTCTTTTAGGTGGAACTTGATGAGGGGCTAAACCCTACACCTTTAAACCCGAAACCCTCAACCCGAAACCCTAAACCGCAAACCCTAAACCCTAAACCCCTGGGTCGGTTGAAGTAAGGTTGCGGGTTTTGTGTGCAGGGTTTAGGGTTCGGGGTTTAGGGTTTGGGGTTTGGGGTTTAGGGTTTAGGGTTGAGGGTTGAGTGTAGGAAGCTTGGCCTCGGCACCCCAAGTACCCTTTGAAAGATACACTACGTTTATCACGGGTTTCCCTACTCCTCCTCCTCCTCCGCCCCCCGCTTTACTACCCCTCTAGGTTCCGCGCCCCTAATTAAGGCTATCTAGGGATGATTCAGAAGGTTATTGAAGGGGGGGAAGCTAGGGGAAGTTTAGGGTTTAAGGTCTAGGCCCGGAGCATGCTAAACCCTCAACCCTCAACCCTCTTGAGCTTACCCAGACATGGCTCTACCTGAACTCAAACCGACCTAGCATGTGTACAACAGCATCCATATTCGGGAGGTTTTCCCATATGGGTTAGGGCTTCCTATCTTCGGAGGGGTCCTTGTGAAGGGGGTTGTGGTCTCTCTTGGTTCCCCCTATCTTGGGAACACCCACATGGCCCAGAGAAGGAGAAGGGCCTCCTGGCGAATACCACGCTCCTTGAGCGCGCGGTCCTCGATGGCTTAGTTTTGGGGTTTGGGGTAGCCATCTGCTCCCCCAAAAAACCCTATAGTCCATCAAGGCAGGACCCCAAAAATTGCGGCCAATCTTGTCCCATATCCTAGTCATACTCGAAACTCCCCAAGTGGTCGATTCTGATTGAAGAAGCCCCCTATCTTAATGTTCTTGAGGGTGTCCGTGTGCGTGGAGATGCCCGTGGGGTCAAGCGTGATTGTCCATAGTGAGGGGTCTTTGGCCGGGAGTTGCTTAGGGTGGCGGATACCTCTGCCTGTGATGTAAGGGCCTAATTAAGCTAATTCTTATTTGAAGGGTTACTTTGGGTACACATATACACACACATACATACGACACATGCATACATAAATAGATAGACATATACATATAGATAGATACATACATAAATACAGAAAATATAAAATACATAAATAAATAGAGATTTAATAAACAAATAAATAAAAATGAAAAGTGAATAAAGAAATAAATAAGTAAAGAAATACATTAAATAAATAAATAGAAAATAAATAATATATATATATATACACATATATATATATATATACATGTATTCATGTGGAGATGCCTTGGTAGTTTCTTTAGGCTCCCCATTTTTTGCGGCGCGGGAAGATCCTTGAGGCTATCGAGCGCGGGCAGAGGTGATCATGCAGGAGAACGCCGAGAAGCTCCTTGGTAGGGTCTTGGGAGATTTTATCTTTTCCCTTAAGCCCGAAACCCTAAACCCTCCTAAACCCTAAACCCTAAACCCTAAACCCTAAACCCTAAATCGTACACACTAAACTCCCGAAAACCCTAAGAGGGTTTTGGGTCATCCTAGGTTCTACTTCGGGGAGTTTCAGCCCCGGGGCCACCTCTGGGAAAGATAGCGGCTCTGCGATGGACCCCTGGGGTTCGATTTCGAAAGAGGTGTTTGTTTCTGCAGGATTGAGGGTTTAGGGTTTAGGGTCTAGGGTGTTAAAAACGGGGTTAAGAAGAGTCAGCTAACCCCAGGGTCCATTCAATGCTTTCTGGCGGGAAAAACGGCCCCACTTGCCTTTGAGTCATGACCAGCGAGGCAGTTTGGAGGCGGCCGGCAACCCTAGTTGGAGGTTCATGGTACTTATTTACCAACTCTGAGTGTGTTTATATGGCCCACTTATAAGCCCCTTCAGTGCCCTAGTATGGTTATAGGTACATTTATCAGTACAGCTTACTTGGTTAGTATGTATCATGAACCTCCAAGTACCAAACCCTCGGAAACGGATCTCTCTCGCTCTCTCTCCAACAGACCCCTTTCGTAGAGCTCTTTGAGACGAACGCAAGTGAACCACACCAGACTTTTGTGTTCACCGAAGCCTTGCAGGATAGGATTCGAGTCCAGCAGATTTCTTGGGTAGAAATCCTTAGCCGTCGGCATTTCCCTCAACTTTCGGAGCAAAACGCCGCAACGCCCACAACCCTCACGAAAAAAAACCACCTCGTAGCCCGAGAGGGTCAGGCAGTCCTCTTCTCAGAAGGCGCCAGGGCGCACAAAGCACAAGCGAAACCCCCCCCACTAAAGGCCGTTCACATAATTTGGGAGGTTTAGGGCTTGGAGGCTCTACGTCTGTAAGAGGGGGGCCCATAGGCAGGGGGGTTAGGGGTTTAGGGATTTAGGGATTTAGGGTTTAGGAGTTCGGGGCTTCTGGAAGAAGAGCACAGCAGCGTCAAGGCGCGAAAAGCTTCGTCAAGACTGAGTCAGGCATTTGGTTCCTGTAACGCCACAGGCACTACAGGAGAAATGAGGCCATCTAAATCAGCGATGGGCCAAGGGTTTAGGGTTTAGGGTTTAGGGCTTAAGGTTAGGGGTTTAGGGTTTAGGGTTTAGGGTTTAGAGTTTAGGGTTTAGGGTTTAGGGTTTAGGGCAAGTATGAAAGAGATGCGTTCATGAAGATCTTGAAAGGTGTCTAGGCGAGCACTGAAGCTGCTCCGTCCGTGCAGCTCGCAGTCAGCGAGCGCTTCACAAGGACAGAAGGCCCTTTTTATCGATGCCGTCCTAACCAAAAGGCCTCTACTTCACCATCCCCCTGCTCCCACCACCGGCCCACTCCTCCCAAAACCGCAGTAGCAACCCTAAACCCTAACCCCTAAATCCTAAACCCTAAACCCTAAAGCCTAAACCCTAAAGCCTCGGCCTTAAGCAAAACTTTTTGGCAAGAGCCGCCACCTGGAAGTTCTCCAGGAGATGCCCTGTTCTCGGAACTTTCGTGTGCCACCGCAGGCGCATTCTCAGAACTAAGCCCTAAACCTAAACCCCGGAACCCTGAACCCTGACTCCCTAAACCCTAAACCCTAAACCCCTAAACCCTAAAACCTAAACCCTAAACCCTGATCCCTGAACACTAAGCCCTAAACCCTCAGCCCTCAGCCCCAAGGCCTAAGCCCTACGCCCCAAACCCTAAGGCCTCTGCCCTAAGCCCTAAGCCCGAAGCCCTAAACCCCAAGCCCTTCAACCCCAATTAAACCCTAAACCCTCAACACCTTGTAAACCTTATAAACCCTAAACCTTAGAAACGATAAACCTTAGAAACCCTAAACCGCGGTGTTTTTGGACATGGCTGACTTTGCCATCCAAAGCCATGGCTATGTGGGCCGTGGCCTCAGCTCGCAGCAGAGATCCAAGATGTCTCGTATAGGGTTTAGGGTTTAGGGTTTAGGGTTTAGGGTTTAGGGTTTAGGGTTTAGGGTTTAGGGTTTAGGGTTTAGGGTTTAGGGTTTAGGGCGCTTAGGGTTCTTGAGTATCCAAACTCACAGGCCTTTGGGATGAGGGGTTTGGGTCCCCGCTCCTCTGCCTGCCAGGTCCTGTCGGTACCTGCTGCAGCCTCTCTGCCCTTGGCTTAGTGCCAACATGCACCTGCATCCCTAAACCCTCAACCCTCAACCCTCAACCCTAAACCCTAAATTCCCTCAACCCTAAACCCTAAACCCTAAATTCCCTCTTAAGCCCTCAACTCTGAGCCCTAAACCCTAAAACCCTAAACCCTCAACTCCAAACCCTACACCCTAAACCCTCAACCCTAAACCCTCAACCCTAAGCCCTCAACCCTAAGCCCTAAACCCTAAACCCTAAACCCTCAACCCTAAGCCCTAAACCCTCAAAGAGAAACATCTTGCGCCACTTGCGGAGGTCGAGCTGGGAACTCATCGCGCGCACGTGCTGCTTGTGGCTGTAGGTGCACGGCTCAGCTGGGCAAAGCAGTCGCAGGGCACAAGCCGTAGGCGCAAGTTGGATCAGAAAGGTTCAGTAGCCCAGTTTCCGCTTTCCTGTTCCGTTCCGGTTTGGGCTCCGGCGTCTCATTTAGCTCCCGCCACGTCTAGAAATAGAACACCCTTCGGCTGTTGGGAACTAGTGTCGGGTAGGCTATTTGTATCACAGTCTTATCAGGAGTGTGCACAAGCGGATGCTGTTGGCAAACAGTCCCTAAACCCTAAACCCTAGGCCCTGAACCCTAAACCCTAAGCCCGCCTGAAACCCTAAACCGCTTAAACCCTAAACCGTAAACCCGAAGCCCAAAGCCCTAAACCCTAAAGCCTCAACCCTAAACCCTAAACCCTAAACCCCAAGCCCTAAGCCCTAAGCCCTAAACCCTAGACCGCCAAAACCCTAAACACCTACTCTCAACCCTCAAACCCACAAACCCCCATTCCCGTTCTTTGGCAGCTTCGGGATCCCGAAAATCCGAGAGAAGCCCTTGTTCCATGGGTTTAGGGTTTAGGGTTTACGGTTTCGGGGTACTTATTTAGTAGCCTCTTAAAGAGAGACATACATATATATATATATAGTTATACATCATACAGAGCCCAAGGGGATGTGTAAATTTGCGTTGTTTCTTTAACCTCTGATGGTTGCAAGGGGGCGTTTCGCGTTGCACGGAGTGTTTCCAAGCATTGAGGTGCTGATCTTCACGCGCCCAGCTTGCGCGCTTGCGCCATCCCTGTCCCCCAAGCGGTTTTCGGGTTCGGGCTCTCAGGTTTGTTGCTTGAGTTGTGTGGGTTTCGTTGTTTTGGGTTGTCTTTTTCGTGTGTGGGAGTTCTAGGGTTTCGGGTCCAGAGTTTCGTTTCAAGTCTGGGGAGGTCTGGACTCTACACCCTACAACGTATCAGCCTCGTTGAGGTTTTGTTGCTGGGCCCCCTTCTGAGATCCTTTCGCCCAAAGCCCTGAAACCCAACAACCCTCTGCACCCTAAACACTTCTGCGCCTTCAAATTGTGCACCCGGGATCCTCAACCCTATACCTATACCCGCCTTTTGGATGAGTTTTTGACCCTAAACCCAAACTCTCTCTGCACCCTACCAGCTCAAAGCCAGGCTATCGTCCCCTGCAGGTGCGGTATCTTCTCTGGGCTTGGGCTTCGGTGGTTAGGGGTTTGTGGCCTCAACCGAAAACCGAAAGCCCGAAAACCCTAAAACCTTGCGGAGGGTTGATAGTTGCCGGGTTTTGCCTGCAACTCTGTGTTAGCTACCGAGTAGGTATCATCAGCAGGTAATATCCCATGAAACTGTACGTAAAGAGTTGGTTCATGACGGGGGTGAGGAGCTGACCAATCAATCCTAAACCCTAAACCCTAAACCCTAAACCCTAAACCCCAAACCCTAAGCCCTAAACTCTAAACCCTAAACCCTAAACCCTAAACCCTAAACCCTAGACCCTGAACCCTAAACCCTAGACCCTAGACCCTAAACCCTAAACCCTAAATCCTTCCCTAAGCCACTCTCATCCTGACGAAGGCGCGAGTGCCGCTTCGCACTTCGTTGACAGCGCCGCATCTTGCCACTAAGTTTGGGATTGAGGGCTCGGTTTGGGGTGATTATTCGGGGTTCTTTGGGGGCTACTTGGGTACATAGGGGCTATAAACTACTAATTGCTTAAGAACCCACCCCCAAAAAACACAAAAGTATTCTTCCTTATTATTAAGGGCAATGTAAGGTTTTTTTTTTTTTTTTTGGGGGGGGGGTTCTTAAGCAAATAGTAGTAAAGGGTGTATACAGGGGTTTATATAAGGAGCAAGTTTGGGATGGAGGACTGAGGACTCTTCTTGGAGCTTATAAAATAAAACTATAGCTGTACTTACAGCTGTACTGTACTTATTATAACTCTACTTAGGGGGCCTAAGGTTTAGGGTTTAGGGTTTAGGTCCTAAACCGTTTAGGATAACTGTACTTGTAACTGTACTTATAACCATATTAGGGCACTTAAAGGGCTTATAAGTGGGTTCTAAGTACAGTTATAGATGGTTAGGCAGTGCCATGAAAACTAAGGACCCTTGACTGGGCATATATACACTTTTTTCCAGGGTCTACTCCAAAGTAGGGTTGAGCTGTCCCTTAAGCCTCAGACCGTTTTCGGGAGAACGGGAGGGAGCTCTGCTGCTAGCGAAATAGCAGTAGCCCCGTATGCATGGGTCTGAAATCCTTATTGGAGGGCCCATATACTCTCATTCAAGCTTCTTCGGGGCAGTGTCCCCCCCCCCCCCAACAAAAGCCCCTAAATGAAGGTCTACTGATCTTGGGGTGGTCTAGGCCCAAACCCTGAACCCTTTCCCAGTCCGAGCTGCGCTTCCTGCTGGGCACCTGCCATGTGCACGGCCTCTGCCCAAAGGAGCTTGGACCGCCGACGCTTTGAGGAAAACGGTCTTTAGGGCCCTTTCGGGCCTTTGGGGGGGGGGGTTTAGGGTTTTTAGGGATTTTGGTTTTTATTGTTTTGATTTTTTGGAAGGGTTTTCAGGGTTTTTAGGGTTTTTGAATGGAAGCACGATTCCGAGAAGCTGTTTCACTTCAGAGAGAGAGAGAGAGAGAGAGAGAGAGAGAGAGCGAACGGTAACAATAAGTGCAGAAAATCACAGTACAAAATCAATGAGCAACCCTCGAAACCTCTACGCCTCACACCCCGAAGCCCTATGCCCGACTGCGACCGACTTGCGACTTACACTTGAAGGTTTTTGGAGTAGTAAGCCAGGAGGCCTGTCACGGACCAGAATCCCTAAACCCAAGCCCCAAACCCTAAACCCTACAAGCCCTAAGCCCTAAGCCCTAAGCCCTAAGCCCTAAGCCCTGAGCCCTAAGCCCTGAGCCCTAAGCCCTAAGGCCTAAGCCCTAAGCCCTAAGCCCTAATAATGCAGGGGGCTTTAGGATGTAGGCTTGAGGATTCACAGTTTCGGGTTTCTGGTGGCCGTACTTTTCCTCGGGTGGTTGAGGGCCGAGGGTGCCAGGCACCCATGACCACATCGCTTACGGCACTAAACCCCCACAGCTATACACTAGCCTCCCCTTGTGGGGTTTAGTGGGGTGCCCCCAAAATTGCATTCTGGGGGGAGGGGGTGTTCCTATCATTAGGATTACAAACTGTTGCTCTTTTTGTTTTTTTTGGGTGGGGGGGGGGGGAGTACCCTAAACCCGAAACCCTAAACCAACCCTAAGCCCTAAACCCTAGACCCTAGCCCTAGACCCTAAGACCTAAGACCTAAGACCTAAGACCCTAAGACCTAAGACCTAAGACCTAAGACCTAAGACCTAAGACCTAAGACCTAAGACCTAAGACCTAAGACCTAAGACCTAAGACCTAAGACCTAAGACCTAAGACCTAAGACCCTAGACCCTAAGACCCAAGACCTAAGAAACCCTAAACCTTAAACCCTGAACCCTAAACCCTAAACCCTAAACCCTAAACCCTATACCCTATAAGCCCTAAACCCTAAACTCCTAAACCCTAAGACCTAAGACCTAAGGGGTCCTCGCTGTGTGGTGGCCTTCGGGCCACACGCGTTGCGGCTCTTCGAGGCCTGCCTCCGGGGGGAGGGGGGGCGGGGGCAACCCTAAACCCTAAACCCGAAACCCTAAACCCTAAACCCTAAACCCTAAACCCTAAAAAAGGTTTGTCAGGGCCCAGAAAAGGGTGCTCGCGCCTCGAGGTGACACAAAGCCCCCAGGATGGCGTGGCGATGAAGGCTTGCGGCGACGTGGTGCGCTTGCCAGACTCTGGTCCTCTTCTTGGAAGTTGTTGATATATATATATATATATATATTATATATGTTCATATACATATAAGTATATATGTATATATATATACATATATAGTTTTTTTTTTCTCTCTCTCTCTCTCTAAAACAAGTTCGTGTATTTGCGTGGTTTTTAAATAAGTTGCCCAAGGGAAGAACAGGATCCTTCGATCTTGTGGGTTCTGATGGGGTGGGGGGGGTGGGGGTTAGGACTGGCCTTTGGATGTGGCCTGGCTACCCAAGCAGTTTTTGGGAGACTTGGTGGTGGCCTACGGCCGCGTCTTCCTGGAGATCTGGCGGCTGGGGGACGAGGGACCGAGACGACAGAGGAGATTGGCCGGCCCTGCCGAGGTTTCCTTCCTCTACTCGGCTTCACTGCAGCTGCTGCCCATCGCCACGGACTCCGGCATGCGATGCGCCGGGGGAACCTTCGACGGCTTTGCAGTGCTGTGGACGGTGCCACATTCGGCCTGCACCGAGCTTGCGCACGTGCAGCTGTCTGGGCACGAGGGCGCCATCTTCAGGACGCGGCTCTTCCTGGATGCGACGGCCCTTCTTACGGCCTCGGACGACCGAACTGTGCGACTCTGGGTGGAGGAGGGGTCGCCCCTCCTGCGTGGAGCTGTCGGGAGCCTGCGGACGAAGGTTCCCAGCCAGCCTTCGCCCGGCTGGCGCTGCGTGGCGATCTGCCGAGGCCATGGCTGCCGGGTCTGGGACGCCGTGCTGGCGCCCATAGGGGGGCCAAGTTTGGGCATCGTGTCAGCTTCTGAGGACTCCATCGTGCGAGTCTTCTCCTTGGAAGGGGTGTTGCTACTTGGTAGTAGAGTAGGTAACCTTTGCCCTTTTTGGGTTAATAGATTCCCCTTCTGATCCCAAAGGTTAACCTTCAAAACACCCAGGTACTGGACAACTAAGGCTAAGAGAGCTTCAGGGGCACCAGACGCGCGGTGTCCGGTGCTTGGAGGTCGTGGTGGAGCCCATGGCCTGGGCTTCCACCGCCTTTGCCCAGGCTGACCTGGCCGTCATCTCCGGCGGCGAGGATGGGGCGGTGAAGCTGTGGCCCCTCTGTGACCTCGGCATCCCGGAAGGTGATGGCTCTTCGAAAGCTGGGTACCCCGCCAAGCACGCTTGCAGCAAGTTGTGGCATGTACCGCAGGCAGAGGAGCCTGCTGCCAAAGAAGCGGTCAAGAGCGAAAGCCTCTTTTGCCTTTTTGTGTCTCTTGTCTTTGTGCTGGTCTTTGAAATAAGTTCCGTAAAGTTGGTAGACACACTGCTTTCCAGGACTGGATTCGGGAAGTGGCGCTGCTTTCCCACAGCGAGGCCCTGGTGGCCACCAATTTTGGCAAGATCTACCGCTTGCTGCTGCCTAGTAGTAGAGTAGGTAACCTTTAACCTTTTTTGGGATAATATAATCCCCTTAGATTCCCGAAGGTTAACCTTTGATTCTCCGAAATTGCTGAACAACTAAGGCTGTGTGCAGAGGATGCTAAGGATGCTGGCGAGCAGGTGCCAGCCCGTCTGCTCTTTGACGAGCCCGGCGTCTGTTTCACTTGCATGGGCGTGGGTACTTCCACGCATGTGTGGACAGGCTGCGCGGATGGCCGCGCCCTGTTCCTCTGCATTGAAACAGATGCGGGCAGCAAATGGGTCGAAGCCTTCCGGCAGTACCGCGTCAGTGCTGCGTTTGGTGGGGGTGAAGGGCAGGGGCTTCTAGCAGATCACGCCGGCCACGTGCAGCTCTGGAGGGGCGCTGGCTCGGAGTCGCCCTCGCGGCTTGGAGAAGTGAAGCTGGCAGCTCCCAGGAGGGGTGACAAGGACCAGCGCCAGCGCCTGCTGTGTGCTGAGTTCCTCCCTCTCGACGGCGGCGGCCCTTCCTGGCTTGTGGGAGATGAGCACGGCATCCTCCATCTCGTCAACTTGCCTGGGCCATGTCTCTCCCATCGAGGCCATGAAGGGAAAGTGCTCTGCCTGAGGCGCCTTCCAGTGAGCAGGGAGTTCCTTTCCGCAGGGTCTGACGGTACGGTGGTGCACCATCGCCTGGACCAGGAGGGCTGGACACAGCTCGCAACGCACCGGCTGGGATGTGGCTTAAGGCACTTGGCCCACCTTTCGCTTCTGTCCCCCGATTTCTCCGGCCCTGGCATCCCTCCACTGCTTGTGGGTGCATTTCAGAGCGCAGACTTCGTGCTCTGGAACGCAGGGGCCGGGCTGGAGATCTGGCGCAGGCGCTGTGGCGGCGCCAAGCGGCCAAATGACCCTAGGTAGAGGCTTTTTGTGGATGTTTTCTTGTCCTTCCCTTTTTGGGTTCTAAGAGGGTCATCTTGAGGAACATGTTTTCAGAGGGTTTTTCCGGAGCAGCCCAGGGCCTCATAGCGGACGAAGCCGCGCACACCTTCGTCTTCTCATCGGCGTCCAAGACCCTGGAGATCCATTCGACCTACGCTTCGCCTGCTGTCTCGGGCTCTTCAGATGCGCACGAACCTTGGTCAGTGTTGAGAATCATTTTTTTCCATGTTTATGAACACTTAAACCCAATTGAGGAACAACAATGATCATTTAAAAGCAGCGCCCCAACAATGGTGCAGGAACCCGGAGTCGTGGCCCCAAAAGGGCTGCGGCAGCCCCTGCATGGACGCGAGATTCACAGCACTTGCTGGCTGCGCCCGCCATCTGAGGTGCCTTGCATATGCAACCAGAAGTCTTTTCAGCTGAGGTTCAGGCAGTAGAGAGGTGTCACAAGTTGCTCAGATAACCCTGATAGCACTTACACAAGACGAGGAAGTCCCATTCACAAGTGCACTTCCCCGCATGCCCGGCCCACCCCTAATCCCGACCGCGAGCCCGAGACTCCCGACGTCCTAAGCTTCAAACCCCAAACCCTAAACCCTAAACCCTCCTAACGTCTTAAGCCACCAGGGACGACCTGGTCTGCTGGCGACGGCCTCCGAAGACACCAGCCTTCGACTGCTGAGGCCTTCCATGGTTGCCTTGGTTTGGGGTCATTAGGGGTTTTGGGTTTATAGGGATGCCCCTTTCTGTTTCATATGATGTATGGTAAGGTTTAGCCTTGCTGTGGGAATATCCATATCTGAAGATCTGGGTCGGGTTAGATAGAGCTGTATGGCCGTAGTATAGCCTGGATGTTAGGGACTTACATGCAACCTTCTTACATATGACCACCCGTGTACCTCAGGCAGGACTCATAGAGAATAACTGTGAAGAACTTGTACCCTAACCCCCAAGCGCTCAGGGCTTCGGGCCTTTGAATGAGTCCTGGCGCCAGGTTTTGGAGTGGGCCCCCTTGTCGCCGCTGTTTCAGCATGCTAACGGCCCTAAAAGCCCTCCTAGCTCGAGAAGCCAAAGGAAAACCCAAACAGTTTCTGAACCCGAGTTTGGAGAGCAGGCCTGCAAGCCCTGAAGCCCTCTGAGCCCTCGGCCCAAAAGCCTTTTCTTAACCCTACAGCTCTTCACTGCAGAGGTTCCTAAACCCTAAACCCTAAATACCCTGTAAACCCTACAAACCCTACAAACCCCAAACCCCAAACCCCAAACCCCAAACCCCAAACCCCAAACCCCAAACCCCAAACCCCAAACCCCAAACCCCAAACCCTAAACCCTAAACCCTAAACCCTAAACCCTAAACCCTAAACCCTAAACCCTAAACCCTAAACCCTAAACCCTAAACCCTAAACCGCATCCCTGGAAGCGCCGGCCGCGACGTGGCGCCGACCCCCGAGTCGGCCTCCGTGCGCTTCCCGGGCGCGGTGCGGGCGCTGGCGGCTGCCAAAGTCGTGGTGGCGGGACAGGACTAGGGTTTAGGGTTTAGGGTTTAGGGTTTAGGGTTTAGGGTTTAGGGTTTGGGGTTGAGGGTTTTAGGGTTTTAGGGTTTTAGGGTTTTAGGGTTTTAGGGTTTTAGGGTTTTAGGGTTTGGGGTTTTAGGGTTTTAGGGTTTTAGGGTTTAGGGTTTTAGGGTTTTAGGGTTTTAGGGTTTTAGGGTTTTAGGGTTTTAGGGTTTTAGGGTTTTAGGGTTTTAGGGTTTTTGGGTTTTAGGGTTTTAGGGTTTGGGGTTTGGGGTTTTGGGTTTGGGGTTTAGGGTTGAGGGTTTTGGTTTTAGGGTTTTAGGGTTTTAGGGTTTAGGGTTTGGGTTTGGGGTTTGCGGTTTGGGCTTTGGGGTTTGCTGTGATAAGGCGGCGCAGAAGCTGTGAAGGCTGGCATGCACAGTAGCCTCGAAAGCCTCAATAGGGTCTAGGGTCTAGTGTTTCGGGTTTAGGGTTTAAGGACAAAACCACCCTACCCTATGCCTTTTCGGGTTTAGGCTAGACTCAGCTCATTTGCCTGCTTCCAAACAAAGTGCTTCCTTCCTCCAGGGTTGAGGGGCTTCCTTCACAAAGCCCTGTTTCGAGTCTGTGGGCGAGACCCCAGGATTCTGACAAGAAAGTTGCCGATTCCAGCAATGATGATGCACAGATTGCGATGGCAGAAGTGACCCAAAGGGCTAAGTTCATGTTGGGTTTGCTTCATTTGAGCTTAGAAGGCGAAAGCCAGCAGACCTTGAAGGGTGCACCCTAAGCCTATTTCATTTCGTCTAGTGTTTCAGGGCTTGCTTGGAGGTTCATGGGCACTTACAAGTAGGGTGATAAGCACCCAAGAGAAGGTTAAGTTGTAGCCATAGTTTCTCGACTCATAGACCTTCTTAGACCTATAACCCTTCCTAGAAGTACCCAATGAAGCTGCAAGTAGGGCTTAGGGTTTGGAACCATCAAACCGAAGCCCTAAACAGGAGAGCTGCCTGCTGCTGTCTGGAGGTGCAGAAGACCAGCAGATGATACAACCCTTTGAAACCCTAAACCCTCAACCCTCAACCCTAAACCCCAAACCCTAAGGTACCAACCCCAGGAAAGTTGACGGTTTCGGGTCCTCAACCTCCACATGCCCGAACTATGAGTGTTTTGCGTGCGTTTTCTTGCAGCAGTGAATTTTATTTGGGAGCTAGAAGCCCTGCAAGATTGACACCCTTTGATAGGGCATTTTTGACACCGAATCTCCCAAATTCCCTACTAATACCCTAAACCCTAAACCGTAAACCCTTCACCCTTCACCCTAAACCTCAAACTCTAAATCCTAAACCCTAAACCCTGAACCCTAAACCCTAAACCCTAAACCTCCGCCCCTTTCAGGTGCCAAAGGTGTCCTCCAGGCCCACATGGTGGAGGGTGCCGCGTCCCTCCGCCGCGTCTGGTCCACGTCGCTGGCGGAGGATGCAGCGGCTTCCGGGCAGGAAGTGTGTTCTGAGGAGACCCTAAACTTCTCGACGATGAAGCCCTAAACCCTAAACCCTAAACCCTAAACCCTAAACCCTAAACCCTAAACCCTAAACCCTGAACCCTAAACCAGAAACCCCCTCGGTTCTGTAGGCCATAGGGTTTTCGGGAAGTACTTCGGGAATCACGTGCGGGTTGGGTGAAAGATTCCGGAGACCTGGCCGATGCACCTCGGATGTTCTGTGGAGGGGAGGATTCTTCCTCCTGGCCCGTTTTGTGAGTCGGTTGCCCTACACCCTAAACTTACCTGAGCCCTAAACGCCCAAACCTATCCCTTAAAGCACCTGTTGCGCAAAAGAGGGCTATTCTTTACCCCCCCCCCAGACTTGGGAATTTTCTGAGCCCTGGACCCTAGAGTGGCGGGCCGCTGCACCCTAAACCCTAAACCCTAAACCCTAAACCCTAAACCCTCAACCCTAAACCCTATACCCTAAACCCTAAACCCTAAACCCTAAACCCTAGATCCTAAACCCTAAGCCCTAGATCCTAATTTTTTCTCGATAAATTCCCGGACGCGAGGGTGACGAAATGCTTTTCATTTGCCCAGCTGCCATGCACGAAGTTCAAAAGAGTTTAGGTTTTAGGGCATGGGTTCCTTTACTACCTCGCCTTTAGCTTCCCCCCTTAATTCACCGAACCTTATTAGGCATAGCCTTCTTTGGAGTGGCTCGCCCTCTGATGGGCTAGGGTTTACGGTTTAGGGTTTTGGGTTTAGGCTTTAGGGTTTAGGGTTACTTTACAGGATGCTGTATTTCGGAACACTCGGAGTCAGGGGAACATCTAGTAGGAAATCTGCAACCTCAACAGCCTATGGAACTTCGTCAACATGAATGCCCTCACCGTGGTAGTGCCACCTTCCCCAAAATGCCTGGGACATGCTGCGAGCAACCCTCCAACGGGTTTAAGTTTGCGTGGCCCCTCCCGCTCCATAACCCTGGCGCTCCCAGTAGAGAAATAAATACCTACATTGGGGTCTACAGTCTGTAAAAAGCCCTGAACCCTGAACCCTGAACCCTAAACCCTAAACCCTAAACCCTAAACCCTAAACCCTAAACCCTAAACCCTTTGGGCTGTTTGGAGCCTTAGGGTAAGCAGGCTGCAGATCATGTGGCCGAGGAGGAGGACGGAGGGGCGACTCGGAGCAGATGTGGAAGGGAACACTTTGCGGTTGTAGGGCTTTCCGGCCCACGGTTAAACCCTAAACCCTAAACCCTAAACCCTAAACCCTAAACCCTAAACCCTAAACCCTAAACCCTAAACCCTAAACCCTAAACCCTAAACTCCAAACCCCAATTTTTTAAATGTTAAATTCCACTGTTTTTAGTTTTTGAGGCTTAGGGTTCAGGGTGTCGCCCTCAAAGCTCCCAACGGGAGGCGCCACCGAAAGGGAACCCTCGAGCCTGTTCGAACCGCATACCCTAAACTGGCGGTCCATGGTAGAGGTTTAGGGTTTAGGGTTTAGGGTTTAGGGTTTAGGGTTTAGGGTTTAGGATTTAGGGTTTAGGGTTTAGGGTTTAGGGGTTAGGGTTTTGGGAGTTAGGGTTCAGGAAGGGTTTGGAAGCGCTCATTTGCAGGTGGGGAGCTTTGGGCGCCAGACGCGAATCCGAAAAGAGGTGATGTTTACAGGTAGGTACCCCAACCACTCAGAAATGCCAAGAGGCCCAAAATTTCTTAAATCCTAAACCCTAAACCCTAAACCCTAAACCCCAAGTTGTTCCAAATTTCGGTTCCTCTTCTGCTTCCCCTAGGCCCGAAATCCGAACCCCAAACAGCCCGGATACCCCCTCGAAAGGACCAGAAGTTTGAGAACTGCCCAAGTAGCCCTTAGCACGTGTTGGTTTACACTCGTAGATCCCCTTTTGTTTTTTTTGGCGGGGTGGGGAACCCTTTTTTTAGCCCTTTCCTTCAACCCTAAAACCCTAGATCCCTAGCACCTTAAACCCTAAACCCTAAACCGTAATTCCTACACCCTAAAACCCTAACACCCCAACACCCTAACACCCCAACACCCTAACACCCTAACACCCTAACACCTAACCCTAAACCCTAAACCCTAAACCCTGAACCCTAAACCCTAAACCCCTCAAGCAGAGCCGCCAGGCGCGCCTTGAGGAGCGGGTGATGGCCATCGGCTGCGTGACCCTGGAGGACGGTTGCCAGAACGAAGACCCTAAGCCCTAACCCCGAAACCCCATTTAGGGTGAGGGTTGAGGGTTGAGGGTTGAGGGTTTAGGGTTTAGGTCTACCCTAAGCCCTAAACCCCAAACCCCCTTTCCCTAAGCCATCCTAAGGCCCTAAACCAGCCCCAAGCCCCAAACCCCAAACCCTGAAGCCTGAACCCGAAACCGAAGAGTTAGGGTTTAGGGATTCAGGGCTGTCTTTTCCGGGTCTAAACCTCAGGCTTTCAGGGCTCTGCCAAGTCTAGGGTTTTTTAGGCATGGGGGGGGGGGGGGGGGGGTTTAGGGTTTAGGGTTTAGGGTTTAGGGTTTAGGGTTTAGGGTATAGGGTATAGGGTTAGGGTTTAGGGTTTAGGGTTTAGGGTTTAGGGTTTGAGGCAGATCTGCCAGAGCCGGCTGCCTGTTTCGGTTTTGCGGCTTGTGGTTTTCGGGTGTAGTTTGACGTTTGGTCGTGTAATCAGGCTCGTGAGGCTGCGCTGCCGAACCTGCAGACTATAAAGTTCTGGTGGTGCATGCTGCGATTTCGCGGTGACCCCTTCCCCTGCATGTGGCCGGCACACCTAAACCCCTAAACCCCTAAGCCCCTAAGCCCCTAAACCCCTAAACCCCTAAACCCCTAACCCCTAAACCCCTAAGCCCCTAAACCCCTAAACCCCTAAACCCCGAAACCCCTAAACCCCTAAAGCCCTAAACCCCTAAACCCCTAAACCCCGAATCCCCTAAACCCCGAAACCCCGAAACCCCTAAACCCCTAAACCCCTAAACCCCTAAACCCCTAAGCCCCTAAACCCCTAAACCCTTAAACCCCTAAACCCCTAAACCCCTAAACCCTAGAAAGGCTCCACTCCATCCATTACGCCCTTCAGCCCGCTGAACACCGAGCTTCGATCCATGAACTCCGAACTCTGTAAACCCCAGAGCCCCCCCAAAAGCCGAAGCCCTAAACCCCAAACCCTAAACCCTAAACCCGAAAGCCTAAACCCTAAACCCTAAACCCTAAACCCTAAACCCTAAACCCTAAACCCTAAACCCTAAACCCTAAACCCTAAACCCTAAACCCTAAACCTTAAACCCTAAACCCTAAACCCTAAACCCTAAACCCTGAACCCCTCAGCCCTCCACCGTTTTGAGCAGGCCTCTCTTCTGGTCTGCGCCGCCGCTTCCAGCGGCTTGCTCCGTTCCTGGCGCTTGCGGTTTGGCCCTGCCGGGTCAATCGAGGCGCCCTCTCAATCAGCGTTGTTTAGGGTTTAGGGTTTGGGGTTTGGGGTTTGGGGTTTGGGGTTTGGGGTTTGGGGGTTTACAAAAATGGTAGACCCTAATATCGTAAACCCCCGTTTGTTGCTGTTGTTCTTCCCCCATGTTGGCTGTTGTTCTCATTATGAACTGGTTTGTTGCTGTTGTTCTTCCCCTATTTTGGTTGTTGTTCTTGCTATGAACTGGTGTCATTTTTTACGGCGAAGCCGCCAAAACCTTGAGGGAGTCTGGCTTCTAAACCCTAAACCCTAAACCCGAAATCCGAAACCCGAAACCCGATACCCTAAACCCTAAACCCTAAACCCTAATCGGGGTTCCAGGGAGACTTCCTGCAGCGGCAGCGTGCTGCCGACACCACCGCCTTGTGTGCGGAGTGCTTCCTGGAGCAACTAGCTAGGTTCTGGGACCATTTTGACATCTTCCCTTCTTGGTTTTAAGAGGATCATATTCAGCAATATTAAACTTAAAAGCCCTAAACCCTAAATCCTAAACCCTAAACCCTAAACCCTACACCCTAAACAGGCAAGGCTTTGCCGGGGTCCTTGTGGGCAGCGCCGACGGCAAGCTGGCAGCGGCGGGCCTGGCCGAGTCCGAGCCACTGCTGCGGACGCAACTTCATGACGCCGGGCTGAAGCTGGGCCATTGTTGGAAATCATTTTCCCGTTTTTTTTTATGAATACTTAAAACCCAACAAGGAACAAAAAGGAGCATTTATAAACGTCGTACCCCAACCAATGGTGCAGGAATCACCTGGCGCTCCGCGTGCTTCGCTCCGATGTGGAGTTGGTGCAGCTCTTGCTCCTCACTGCCGGCGACGACCATCGGGTTGCCCTCTGTCGCCTGGACTTCGCCATCTCGCGAGCGCCCTCGCCCGGCGCGCCCAGGGCGGTTTCATGCGCACTGGCCATGAGCCCTTGGGACCCAGAGTAGGCCCTTGAGTTGCCATGTTTTTGGGTTGTTAGGTCTCCTTATGAAAACCCCGTTTAAACCAAAACGGGTTTTCGGTTTCCTTATCAACCCCTTTAAACCAAGAAGGGTTTTAGGTTTCCTTGTAAACCTCTGTAAACCAAAAAAAGGGTAACCTGTAGGTTTACTCTTGGGCCTAGGCCGACGGGTGGACTGCGCACACACGTCTGCGGCGCGCGCCGTGGGCTGGGCGGGGCCCTGGGCATTGCACCCCGGCAGAACTTCGCATTTCCATCCGCAGATGGCTTCCTACATTCCGTGGCCTGAAATTGCTTAACGCCATAAAATTCACGGCATTAAGGGATGGATCTAGTGGTGGCCTTATACAGAACTGTAGCTATAACAATCATCTCTCAACTGTGACCTGCGACAGAACTCCACTACACCCTAAACCCGAAACCCTAAGTCCTAAACCCTAAAACCCTAAACCCTAAACCCTACACCCTACACCCTAAACCCTAAACCCTAAACCCTAAACCCTAAACCCGAAACCCTAAACCCTAAACCCTAAACCCTAAACCCTAAACTCTGAGGAGCCTGGGCTTGGATCGGCGCCTGCGTGTCTGGGAGGCTCTTGAGGACAGCTGCGCGTTGACGGAAAGAGCAGCCCAGGTGCGGGGTGGTAGCGTTTAGGGTTTAGGGTTTAGGGTTTAGGGTTTAGGGTTTAGGGTTTAGGGTTGAGGGTTGAGGGTTTAGGGTTTAGGGATACCAAAGGGACCCCTTATTTAGATCCCCTTTACTTTGTCATAGTGGGGTAACATCTCACATCTTAAAGGGTACTTAAAACTTTAAACGGGAACAGACATTTCATTTTTTTAATGCTATGCCAACCATGAACTAGTTTATAGTAAGGACCCCAATAAAAGGGACCCCAGATAGTAGAA